AAAAAAAAAAAAAAAAAAAAAAGAAGAAAACATTCCTTCGATAAAAATCTCGTAACCTAATTTCAAATATCTTTCAACGCGTTCCTTGCACACGGTTTACACGTATTTCGAACTTCTCTTCGATGTACAGAAGCGAGAAAGATTTGCAGGGAAGGGAAGGGGGAAGGTTAAGTGTTTTCCGGAGACGGGGAGATCGAGAACATCCGCTACTATGTTTCCGCATCGAGGCGAAAAAAAGAGAGGCCATTCGTTGCCCGAGAAAACTGGGGAAAGTTCGTGATTTAAGGATACTTTGAAAATATTTCGCCCCTCCTCCTTCCTCTACCCTAGTTTTAACGCAAGCTTCTACAGGGACGTCCTAAAAATCTTAAAAATAATAATATTCGAGAATTTGTTGTTGTACAGATAATTTTTTCCTTTACGAATAAATTTTTCTAGCTTGACGAAAAAAAGATGAGTGACTGTAGACTTGCCACGATAGTGTTGGGTATGCACCATCCGCTGAGCTTGAACAAATAATTGAGACAAGCGTATTGAATAATTATTGAGAATCTAGTTGTACATAAACAATGAATAATCTAAATAATTTGAACGATGTAAGTGAGGTGAACCATTATTGGAATGATCATTTGATCAAATGAACTAATTAGTTGTTCGTTAGAGGCACATACCCAACACTATCGTCGAAGAGTCTACGTGTTTTGTATATTCGTTAATAACGAAAATTTTCTTTAAACATGACGTACGAGATAAAAATATAAAAAGATTGTAAAATATTTCAAACGACAATCAAACGATAATCGTTCGAAATTTTTATTAAATTTCTCTGAAAAATCCATTTCTCGAGAAAAGGAAAAAAAATGTTTGAAACGAAGCAACACAGTTTCGCTTACCCAACGGTTAACCCATTCCCGATGTTTTTTTCACTTGGCCGGCATTTTGCACGGCATACTTCGGACAATCAGCATTGTTATGCCAAATAATGCTCCCGGTTCTGGTGTTCCTTTGTGCGGGGGTGGTTGGTAAATGGCGTGCGGGTAGGTCGCATCGTTTTCCCTTGTCGTTCCTCCATCCGCCAGTCTTTTATCGCTCGTTGAAAAGGGGCCAAGAGGCAGCGAAAAAAAAAAGAAAGAAAAGAGCAACAGTGCCGAGCCGAGTGGAAGCATTCGAGGGGAAAAATTGTGCCGGGGATATATTTCCTATCTAGCTATAGCTGGGAGCAGGAGGGCTTCCTCCTTCATCTCTGGCTAACTGGATTTCAAAATATCCTTTATCTGATCTAATGTAATTCTATTTTCTGTTTGTTACATGTGATTTCGAATTCTTCTTGATAAATTGAAGAAGAAGAGGGAATAATCTAGAATATTGGTTTGCATTCATACATATTGGTTTGACTTGATATATTTGAGAATTAGGTTTGAGAGTTGGAATATTAAGAGTTGAATTCTATTTCTACTTACTTTTTTATAGATCAATTAGATACAATTATTCGATACGATTGAAGAAATATATTTGTTAATAGATTTAAAATATTGTTTTTAATATTATTGGAATATTTTTTATTAAAAAATTTGATAGAATTCATTTTGCATTGTTACGAGTATTCCTCTCTTCTTTTTTATCTAATAATCTGAAATTTGCCGTGTCTTGGATAAACTTCCGTTTAGTAAGCTTTCTTCTAATTGCACTTATGCATTAAGCTTTCTGCACGAGTCGAGTATGTTTTGAAAACATACTTAGTTCTAGCTAAATGGCGTTATTACAACGAACCTGGAGGAGTTTTGATTTTAATAGCGAGAGATTAAAAGATAAATTGAAGATAAACCACGCGAAAATTAATTATTTACATAATTTTACATCAATTTCTTTTTATTCATATTTTTATTCATATCACCTTGTTGATTAAAACGCAATCGTAATTACAATTATCTCTCAGTAAATGAAACAAGAATTATTATGAAATTAATAATTTGATTTTATTAATTCAAGTGTATATTATGTAAATGTTTATACAAATTTTTATTGATCGAATGTTTCATTTTACCGATTTTCTTGTGAATAACCAAAGAAAAAAAAAATGAATTGTATTTACACCTGTTTGAAACACCTGACAAACTAATAATTGTAGCAAAAAAATATAGATGAAAAAATATTGTTTTTATTTTCCTTGATTCTTGAATTGAACTTGCAAAAAACAATTCAATGGAATTATGAAATAATTAAAAAAAATTCTATCAAATGAATTATACAGTAATATAATAAGGTAAGATTAATTTCAGGAAAACAGAATTTCAATAATAAAAAGAGATAGGATCGAAAAAAATTCTAATCTCAAAGATCGAATTGGAAAAAATTTGATCGCGATAAAAATGGACATAAATCACAAATCGACGATACCTCAATCACATTTTTATGACACATATGGAGCACATGCGATCGATGTTTGGATAAAAACAACGTGACAAGAATATTTAAGCTAAAGACAACCGTACTTTGACGTATACGCACATATATATCCATATGTTACGTAAAAATTTAACAATTCTCAATGCATTTCCGATATACGATAAAAGAAACACAATCTATAATTTGTAACTTAACCAACTTGATCAAACTTAAGTAATTTGTAACTCATCAACTAATATTATTAATTGATAAATCATAATATGATTGCAAGAGGATTCTAATGTATACAAGAAAATTACAATTTATAATTCAATTAACTTACTTGTAACATTTTTTTAACTAATATTAATAATTGATGAATTATTTTATTTAAATACATATCTAACCTAACCTCCAATTTGTCATCAATTCAATCAATATTGTTAAATTATTATATTATTATCAAATATCTATATTGCGATATGAATTCAATGATTTTTGATACATTTTCGGTTCAAAGGGGCAAAAAAAGTGAAAATATTCGAATAAATATTTCGGTAAAGTGCAGAGAACGAATCGTTTGCAACGATTTCAAAGTGTGGAAATGGAAGAACGAGATTCCCTTCCAGGACGAGAATGCACACATGGATCGATGCTTTCGGCCGTGCAGTTAAAACAGAACCGACACGGGGTTGGGGTTTGCCAGGGTTACAATTTAAACGCAAATGTAAACGGCCGGTTTGCCAGGAGGTGTGCAACAACGTTCATGGCTGGCAGAAATCGATTGTTGCCGTGTCAGTGGCCCATAGTCGTAGCAAGACGGAGAATAATGGAATCTGGAATTAATCGTGAGAGAAGGATCGCTTTTTCGTCTATTTTGCTCTCCAACTTTTGTTCGTATTCCTTTCACATTCGAAATATGTTTTTTTGTACATACCTCAAATGACGACACTTTTGATTTTATCGTATGAAGATGCAAACAAATTGATCTAATAATAGAGACAATAAAGATTGTAATCTAATATTGTATTCAGATTGTAATCTAATATTTATAAGAAATACTAATCAGAGTTATAATAGAGAAAAGTTCTTACCGAGGATAAGAAGATTCTAACCTATCTATTGACATATCTTTTTCTATTGAAGACTACGTTCTTGAAGACTTAACCTAATCTAATCTATCTAATCTATTAAGCTATTTATCGACTACTGAAGATTTTAAGAGAATTTTTATTTCGTATTCTTACTTACTGAGCAATTATATCCTTCGTAAAGCCATTGTTTAATTTCAAACAATTCTACGTATAAAAGAAACATGTTGAAAGATTCAAAATATTTAACTTTGTGGGTATATTATTCAAAGGATTCATCGATATGGCAGATCTTTTCGACATATACAAATATTATTACGTTTATATTAAACTTAATAGAATTGTCAGATGACCACTATTTAAAAATTTTTGAATTGATTTGTATATACGATCGATATCCAACGTATGAATATGAAATACTTGTATTGTCACGTGTCACGAAGTTTAAAGAAACGTGTCTCGAAACCTATTAGTCCCTCTTGCGGAATTCATGTCAAATTAAATAAAAGAATTTGAATTTTTTTATTTGATAAATATATGACTGTATATATTAAATTAAGAAAAATCTAAATTGTACCTTCTCTGAGACGAATCAGAAAAATATAACCTGCTTTTAGTAGAGTTAACAGCAATTGTAAATATTCTAATCCAATTTATCTGAAGAATAAATAAGATTAATAATAATAATAATTAATAATAAATAAGATTAAGTAAGAAAATAATTTCATACATGTATGTGCGAGTAAAAAATAATTCGAAATTATATAATTATTTTTATATATTTCTTATGATATATTTTTAATTTTATGATTATTAACTTTCAGATTTATATGTAATATATGCATTTTAAGAACCACCATTTTAGTCGATATTTGCAACAAAATTTTCCAATAAATTGTTGTATACGCGTAAAAAAAAAAAAAAAATAAAAAAAATATATTCTTATACGCGATATTTCCACAAAATACTATAAAACTTTCGAAATCGATGGTTCTTTAATTACTTTCGAGCGGAGTACACTGGCATCGAAACTTTTTAAAACTGTAATGAAAAGAAGTTTCGAAAGATCTGTATCCTCTTTACCATGCAAGTCTTGTCCTCCAGATTTATCGTCTCCACCGTCTTCGATGGAGACGAAATTTTTCATAAGATCACTTTGTATCCTTCCTTAAAGTGCAGAAAAAATCTTTGCCATATCGGCTCTTCCAGATTGAAGAAGAAGGTTAAATGGCACGTTGAAGACATTGCACTTCAGCCGAAGAATCGATAAGTTTTAAACGTGGAACAGATTGATCGTTGATATTCTCTGAAATAAAAGGTTAAACGATATATTATTGAATAATAAAGTAACAAAATATTCTTCATTTCATCCACTTTCCACTCGATAATTAGAGCAATTGTTCAAAATTGCTCTTAATATTGAGATAATTGGTAACAATTTTAAGTACAATTCTTATCGCGATAATTAATAAATGATAATTAATTATATAATAAGTGAAATATTTGAAAAATGGAAAACTAAAAGTAATAAATAATTACATAATAATAATAGATATTATTATAATGTAATTAAATATTAAGTATTAAGAGTTAATAGCCATTAATTGTAATTGATATTTTTAGTTATCTATTTTTATTGAAACTTTTTTCTTGAATATTTTTTTAATAGTGATTTCGAATATTATTGAGAAAATAAAATATTTAGAAATGTTTATTATTGAATACGGAATTTTTAAAAATCTAGAATTTTTAAAAAATTTGAATGGACAAAATAGATTATTGATTTTTTCTCATAATTTTGAAAGTCTATATAATATTGAAAGAATTTGAGTTTGAGTTTGAAAGATTGAAATGGAAAAGCCTTTCAGCTACTAAACCTTAATCAAAATTCAACAGCATGAAATCAGAGAGATATCAATGTAAACGATGTATCTCTTCAAACACAATTTCTTTCGAGTCTCATCACTTTAAATGAACAAGCATCATTCGAAACAGAACGTTATATTCAAATTGATTATCTCTGTTATACCTCTCTCGACGCTTTATAACTAGATTTTCTTTGCTCGTGAATTCTTATAGAAGAAGATGAAGCTTATTCTTGCAAAAAGGATTAGAAAATTGAATGAAATCAGTTGAATTGAAAAACAAATCTTGCCAATTCTCTATTAATTTATTAATTTATATCTTCTCAACAAATCTAATGAAAAATTCATTTACATATCCCAAGATATGTTTCAAAATAAAAGAAATTAAATCTCGTTATAATATATTTACAATAATTTAAAAATTGGATATAATTTTAATAAAATTTTAAAATACTATTGAAAAAATATAAAATTTTTTATCTTTATAACCTTCCTTCTTAAGAAAATAAATTACAAAATCTTTTTTACAATCTCTTTTAAATACATCTTCGTCGAAATTCAAACAAAGAAAGGAAATATTCTGTTTTCGAAATTCTACTTCCGGCAATGTAACTTCTCTGCATAACTATATATCTTATTCATGTCAGAATCCTATATCTACGCGTCAATCAACAATACTCTGGTTAATTCCATATGCTCATTGTATTTGTCCATGTACGACTTTAGTCTTTGAATAACTTCGTGATTTCTTTTTGCACTTTGTTAATTCGCGACACGAATTAAGAACTCTAAGTTCCATTGACTATAGTTCATTTCTCGAGGCTACATCGATATTCAAAGTTATCCTCAATAGCAACAAGTAACAAAGTTCATCGCAATCGATCAGTATCGTCAAATAGCTTTTTCATCTGTGTGTAAAACTGGAGCTAGTGAAAAACTCTGTCGACAGAATGACTGTATATTTTTCAAACGTTTGAACTCGAAGCCACGAATTATCACTCTTTGTTTTGTCATATACAGAG